TCAGACTTCTTAAAGAAGCGAGTAAAAACTACACCTATTCAAAAGGATACTATGGAGATCCAAAAAAATTTTTACTTTTTTTACTTAAAATACCAGACAGCTTGATAACAAAGTTTGCTGGGTTTACCAAATAAGAAGGAGAATTCGAGAACTATTCTCGGGTATATTTAAAATCTACATATAACTGTTGGACAACAAATCTTTCATAGTTAATAGTGGAATGCCCATTTAAATTCGAATTCCGAAATTGTCTATAAAAGAAATATATAAATGTAGATTAGGTTAGGTTAGAGTAGCTGCCAATGCCCAAAAAAAGGACGGATGCTGCAAATCGTCCCGTTGGGATACTACTGGCCACAGAGATGTTAGTTTCCTTACTTCTCTGCGGCTGCGACAAAAATCGTTGGTTCAATATCCTAACCTCTTACCAGATATGCTCATAAGACAGCCGTGTGGTTCCTTTCCTTCCCATCTCGTCGGTCGTGCAACTACCAGGAACATCGCTGTGTCCAGGGACTCATAACCGGCTAAGGAGCATTTCGGAAGTGGTTGAAAGCCCTTCTGCCATCAATGTCTACCTTGGACGTTGTTCCGCTGGATGTTAAAGATTTAATGGCCGCCGCCAGAATACCTAGATCGTGATAAGCCGCTATGAGGGACCGGAGGCTATGAGCTACAGGTCTTCGTCCTTTATTGCGGTTAGTGTTGCCTGAAAAACTCTACAGTGGTCAGGAAGGCGAAAACTGAGGTTTAGTGAGAGTTCCATGGAGTGAATCGCGCAACTTGTCCTCTAATTTAGCTCAGAAACAATTGTATAGATAGTCGTTGTTATAGGTCTGTCGCACCTTCCCACTCGTTCCTCTCTGGGATTCTAATGGAGAATTTTCTGCATGGACAGACTAGAGAAACGGTATAGTCTTATTTCCGTAAACTATTCGGAAGAGTCTCCTGGACCTTCACATGTCCGCCTTTGAGGTCTATACTCGGCTAAATCGGATTTGACTTGGTAGCATTTCAACTTACCAACCCTTATTTGGGATGTGGGTGGTAATTTTGGAGAGCAGTATGTCCTTTGCTGCTTGCAGTTGTGGTGAAATATTGAGTCGCGGCCCTGAGATTTGTGGGCTTGGAAGGACATCATAGACCTTATCTCTTAAGTATTTTTATGCCTTTTACATTTTCTTATTAAAGATAATCTTCATCACAATAGTACTCCTCCTGTTCCTGTTAACGATAAATTTATCGAACTTATGTGGCATATCTACCGTTATTGATATTATTTCAGATATCGTCAGTATTTTTATGGAAACAGGAAATTATTATCGCTATAGTCATTGGTATCGATAAAGACATATGTATTTATCGATATCGGTATCGATATTGTTGTTATATGGGTATTTATTAGGGTATTCGATTATTCGCTTTTTTCTAAAACCGAGTTTCGAGTTATTCGAAAAATTGAAATTGTTAAAAACCGGTTGCCGATTTTAAATTAAGAAAAAATCAGATAAACCGATTTTATTTTACATAGTTTTTATACAGTAAAAATGCTTATCTTGGTATGAGGCAATGGCGAAAAAATACAATAAAACTATTAACAGTAAAAATACACTGCCCGCAAAAAATATTGGAATAGCTGCTAACTTTTTTTAAAATATGGTCCATTCTACAATAAAAAACATAAAAATATAATTTCTAAACTTTGTGTAAAACTCGCAAAAATTCAGCAAATTTTCATGGAAATTTTCAACTTTATAATTAGATATTTTAGATTTTTTTTGAGTACGCAGTTTTGTAGCCCATTAAATTTTAGTATAAAAAAATGTAAGCTTGGAGTTAGTCAAAAATCGCATTGATTTTTGAGAATTTTTTTTTGTTGAAGGTGTTTTGCATTTTATTGGATTTTTTTTTTTTTGTATGGAAGACACTGCATGAAAAAAAAAATTCCCAAAAATTATGATTACAATAAAATTGACCGGGCTACAAATCTGTATACTCAAAAAAAATGCTGAAAAATCTGATTAAAAAAGTAAAAATTTGCATGGAAATAGATGAAATTTCGTGAGTTTTGCACAAAGTAGAATGAACCATATTATTATAAAAATTTGCGGAAAATATTACAATTAAAATTGTTGCGTATATTGTAAAAAAGCAGCTGTGCCAATACTTTTTGCCGGCAGTGTAGCTATTATTAAGAGAGTACAAAATTGTTTTATATAAAAATTAAAACAAAAAAAAAATTTTGAAAAATTCACCTTTGGTCCTTTTTTTTATACTTTAATGCATTTTTTCTTGACCTTTTTCGGTTTTGAGTAGAGCTCTAGCCGCCGCCGTCGCAGCCGAGTGCTTAGAGATGCCTCCCGCCACTCGGGAGACAATGGTTGCCTTGAACTGCACAACTGCGAAAAACCTAATAGTTTTATTCAGAGGTCAAGATTTGAATGAAATGAAACAACCGGTTAGTTCGATAAAAAAAAAATGGTTTATTCGAATTCGAAAAATAAATAGTTCAAAAAAAAAACCGCCTATAGATTTCCAAAAAAAAAAAAAAAACGGGGGAAACCGATCCGAAAAAACCGGGACAATCACCCTAGTATTNGATGAAATGAAACAACCGGTTAGTTCGATAAAAAAAATGGTTTATTCGAATTCGAAAAATAAATATTTCAAAAAAAAAACCGCCTATAGATTTCCAAAAAAAAAAAAAAAACGGGGGAAACCGATCCGAAAAAACCGGGACAATCACCCTAGTATTTATAATTACCGAAGCAATTTTTACCTCACCGAAAACTTTAATTCAAGTCAATTGTTCACTGCTATAATTAGTATACGAAAACCGCAGACAAAAAAGCTGCTAATGAGGGTTTTTTATTTTTAGCGCGGAATAAACTAAAACTTTGAGTAATTTAACGCCCNCGGGGGAAACCGATCCGAAAAAACCGGGATAATCACCCTAGTATTTATAATTACCGAAGCAATTTTGACCTCACCGAAAACTTTAATTCAAGTCAATTGTTCACTGCTATAATTAGTATACGAAAACCGCAGACAAAAAAGCTGCTAATGAGGGTTTTTATTTTTAGCGCGGAATAAACTAAAACTTTGAGTAATTTAACGCCCCGATCTTGCTTAAGAAAAAAAAAATCAAAATTATGTTCTTTATGAATTTCAAGTTCAAATAACTAAATGGATTACAAATTAGTTATTAATCAAAGATTAAAAAAAAAAAAATTTATAATAAAAGATATTCATTAGCATAACACATTTACTTTTAGAATTCCTTTATGCTGTTGCTTAACTAAATGCATATGTATGTATGCATATGTATATATATGTAGGTATATAATTTAACTGTCAGCTGCTTTAACTACCAATATTAATAGTTCTGAAGCGGATGAGATTTCGAAAAATACCCGTACAAGAATGACCAGAAAAAGAACCCACCAAAAAATCACTGGTAAACAAAACAATTTGGGAAAACCAAAATAAAACTACTATAAATCTCCAGTTATCATTGTTTACATGTTTTTAGCACTTAAATCTCTTGTGTTAACAGTGGTGGACCCAGGAGGGGCAGGGGGGGGGGGGGGAAATTAGGAAAATTATCAATTTTTACTTTTTTGTTGTATTTTTGAATTTGCACAGTTTAAAGTCACAGCAAGTTTGAATATTTTTACAGATTTAGAAAACAACGAAAATTCCAAAATTTTTAATTTTATAAAATTATTAAATCTCTTGAGATTTCTTATTTTTAGAATGTTTTCCAAAATTTCAAAAACTATCGAAATCCGGGAGATTCTAGAAATTTTGGTAAAATGAGAATATTTTGAAATGTACAAAACTATTGAGATTTTAGAAATATATTATTATATTTTCCAAAATTTTGAGAATTTTATTTATTCTAAAACCCATCCTAAAATGGAAGAATGTGAAACATCGCAAGTTGTTGAAAAATTCTTATGTTCATGGTACTTGTGTATAAAAAATGGAAAATTCTTAGAATTCTAAAATATATTAACATTTTTGAAAAATCCAAAATTTTTCCACTTTTCTGAACTTTTCCAAATTTTTTTTTATTGATGTAGCAAAGTTTGAGAATTTTAAATTTTTGAAAATTTTGAATCTTCAAGAATTACGAAAATTTTTAAATTTTCAAAAACGACGAAACATGAAAATGTTTTCAACATTCAAACACATTTAATTTCGCTTGATCAATATTGTATATTCGACACTATTACTTTTTTACTAATTTGTTAGAATTCCTACAATTCCTACAATTTTCAAAATTTTCGAAAAATAAAAAATTCTAGGATTCTAGTATTCATCATTATATTGAATTATTGTAATTTACTAAAATTTCTCAAATTCACAAAGTTTTGAAAGCTTAGAAAATTTTGGAATTCCACTCAAGTTATTTAAAATGGAAAATTTCAAGAAAATCAAAACTTTCAAAACTTTAAATCTTTTAAATTGCGGTGATTTTTAAATTTATATACACGATATATGTTGAAAAAAATTCCCTCTTCCCCCCAAGAATTGCTGCTGGGCCCGCCGCTGGTGTTAATGATAAAGCAGAAAACACCGAAGCCCGAAGCTACTGTTGGAAGAGGCTAAGGTGGGGTATGTTTTTTTTTTTTTAGCGCAAAGCTCGCTGCGTTAATGACCAAGCAAAAGAATGAGAATATCAGAATCAGTGAGTTGCTGAGCCGGAATCTTCAAAACATAAACAAAACAAAATGTTGCTATATTTATTCACACACTCACCTGTGCTTATTACTAAAGCTTCTCCGACAGCGCCAACGCCTGTTGCTACTTTGGATGGATTCGATGTTTTTTCATCCGCACTGGTGTTGCTGATAATTTCGCGTGCGCTTTTGTTATTGGCGTTAGTGGCGGTGGCGGGGGCGGCGGCATTAGTCGGTTTTGCAGCGCACAGCAGCAGCGATGCGCCCACTAACAGTAGCAGCGGCAGCGACGTTGACGGCAACGACAGCGGCCACAACTTGAGCCGGACATTGGCGCGCTTTGTGGCAGTGANTTTTTTTCATCCGCACTGGTGTTGCTGATAATTTCGCGTGCGCTTTTGTTATTGGCGTTAGTGGCGGTGGCGGTGGCGGCGGCATTAGTCGGTTTTGCAGCGCACAGCAGCAGCGATGCGCCCACTAACAGTAGCAGCGGCAGCGACGTTGACGGCAACGAAAGCGGCCACAACTTGAGCCGGACATTGGCGCGCTTTGTGGCAGTGAACTCACAACGAAGGCGGTGACTGCTGGCAAGTGCTTGCATATGGCTGTTGTTGTTGTTATTGTTGTTGTTGTTGCTGCTGCTGCTGTTCATGACGTCACAGCTGGCTGTGTTAATGATTTTTTTGCCTTTTCCACTGCTGTTGCTGCTAATGCGTTTGGCGGTGTTAATTTGATTTATGACACTGGCACACATTTTCGCATCTCCTTGTGTTTTTGTTGTATCTATGTGTGTGTGTGTNGTTATTGTTGTTGTTGTTGCTGCTGCTGCTGTTCATGACGTCACAGCTGGCTGTGTTAATGATTTTTTTGCCTTTTCCACTGCTGTTGCTGCTAATGCGTTTGGCGGTGTTAATTTGATTTATGACACTGGCACACATTTTCGCATCTCCTTGTGTTTTTGTTGTATCTATGTGTGTGTGTGTTTTAATTTTCAATAATTTGAAAAATATGCAATTGCACGACGAGTAGTTTCTGCAATTAAAATATAACAATCAAATTACAAACATATTTAAAACCTTTGTGGCCATTCATTGCTCGAAAAAAGAGGTTTATACATACATACATATGTTCATAGGTTTTTACAAATATTTTTTAAGTAAATAATTAAGTCAATGTTTATCGGCAAATATACAAGTGAAAATATGTAATTTCATATGTATTTTTTTGCGCTTGCTTGCCTCTGCGGGTAATGCGATTTGGGGTTGTTTGTTTGTCCGTGTGTAATGACGAGTAAATTATTTACCACCATATTTTTCTCCTTTTTTTTTGTTGGTGATGACATGGTCACAGCTGTACAAGCAAGACATGCCTTTTGATTTTGAAATATGTAATTACATACATACATACATACATATGTAATTATGCACATTAGTTTGCATCACTCTCCACACAAAAAAAAAAGAATCGGTATTGTTATAAAATCTGGATATTATAGTTGGAGACTTCTGTCGCTGTATTTCAGAAAAATATTAATATTTACGTTAGCTGGACCGATTTGAAAAGACCTCCGAAGATCGAGGTTCTTTTATTAATAAAATAAGTATCTAATGTTATAGATACCAACGTGATAAAAGTTAGATGTTATTTTCTAAAAAAAAGTTTTGGTGTATAACATGGAATGTTAAAATCATAGCATATTATGTACAGTATCGGTCATATTTATAGCACGCCATTTCAAAGTGATATTGTGTGCAACTTATGTTTATTTATTTATTTTTGAGAAATTTCAATTAAAATAAAGTTCTTTCTCTAACAAACGCCATATAAACCCAACTTTAACAATTTGTAGAAAACTTCAAAAAAGTGCAACAAATTTTCACCTAAATTTCAAACTTTTTTCTCAGAAGTGTTTGAATTTTTCTGAATACACAGTTTTATAGCCCAATCAATTTTAGTCTGATAATGTGCAAGTTTCAAGTGACTGAAAGTTACCGTTGATTTTTTAGAATTTTTTTATCCAATGGTGTTGCGGTTTTCCTCCATATACAAATAAATTGAGTTTATTCATTATATGGAAGCCAATGCGACAAAAAAATTCTAAAAAATTAACGGTACTTCGTAGCCACTTGAAATTTGCACATTATCACACTAAAATTGTAGGGGCTAAAAAACTGTGTACTCGAAAAAAATCTAACACTTCCAAGAAAAAAGTTTGAAACTTAGGTGAAAAGGTTTATATTGGGGTTTGTTAGAGAAAGAACTGCATTTTAATTGAAAATTCTTAAAAATAAATAAATAAACATAAGTGGCACACAATATCACCTTGAAATGGCGTGCTATAGATATGACCGATACTGTATGTACATATTTAAAATCAAAATAAAATTTAAAGAATTTTTATTTTTAAATACACATACATAAATAGAAAAAAAAAAATAATTTTTCTAACACTTTTTTGAAATAAAAACTTAATTTTTTTGAATAAACAATCAAATGTGTGCCTCTGAAGGGTAAACATTTTTTAAATGCAGCTTGTATATTTAATTTCAATGCACTTTTTTTAATAAAATTTTAAATTTGTAGAAAATTTTTTCAAACAAATTTTTTTAAATTTCAACCTTTAAATAAGTCGTTGCTCGTTTTTAATGAAAATTTTAAAATAAAAAGCTTTCATTGAAATTGTAGAATTTGTTTGATAATGTTTTTACTTAAACTTCTTTTAATATTATTTTTTTTCTTAATTTTATTAATGCAAGTTTAATTTTAAAAAGTAATACAAAAAATTGAAAAATCTAGTTTTAGGTAAAAGTGTTATTAAAAACAAAATATACTTCAAAGTGTAATTTATAAAATAAAATAAAAATTGTATAAAATACTTCTTAACAAGTTGTTTTATATATTTTTTTTATATTAAATTTCAATTTTCATAGTACATATATATCAGGGTTGTTGCGAATATTTTTCCGAAACAAAAGTCTTTTCCGGATAATAAACAAACCGCTTATCCAAATTAAACAAATTTGGTATCAAATGAAAGCGAACTTAAATAGCTTCAAAACGGAAATGTATAAACGACGAAAGCCACATATTGAAAAATATTTCAATAAAAAATATTTATTACCATAGAACAAACCTTTTGTCAGGTATATGAATTTCTTTAGTATTAATTTATAAATAAAATATAAATAGAGGTCCTTCGTTATTTCTGATTAAAAGCTATTTCAGTCCATTTTCATATGATACCAAATTTGTTTAATTTGGACAGGTGGTTTGTTTATTATCGGGAAAGGACTTTTATTTCGGAAAAATATTCGCAACAACTCTGATATATATGCATGTAAATATTTGAATAAAAATTTGCTTGGAAAAGTAAAATTTTTATTTCAACGGCGAATCACTCGTGGCAGTGTGTGCTACTTTGGACTGAGTAGGCAATTGAGAAGCAAAGTCCTTTCTCGTCGTATATAAATCACTCTTTAAGTCACTCAATGCTCGTGCTGATACATATAGTGCGCAGAACCATGGACATAGTTTTTTTTTTTCTGCCAAGAACGCTTACGCGGTTACAGCGCCAATCAAGAAGAAAATATAAATAAGTACATAGTCACAAAAATTAGTCTCAGAAGAAAGAAAAAAAAAAAAAACTTATAAAATGTGCATTCAAACTTCTTCATAAAATTTGCCAAATATTTAACATCTTTGATATTTGTTAACATAATTCATAAAAAAACGTTTGAAGATTTCAATATATGTACATATGTCTAAACATTTTTATTTTCATGGCTAAAATTTGATTCCCTGGAGTATCAATCACAGCCACCATGCTAAGAGTTGGAACACACACAAGGTTTCCACTTCAATTTCTACTCACTCGTGTGGTATCTCCTGCAACATTTTTAATTGTTCAGAGCTAGCTTATAGGCATGCAAAGCCAATAAAGTGCGCTCTGTTGTACACCAACTAAGGATATTATTATTTATTATTTCTTCTGCAGATGACACGCCCCCTTTTTCAATAGCTCCCATTTTTATCCATGAGTTTGGCGTTGATATTATATATCTCTGTACTAAGTTGCAGCACTCTGCGATGAATACTTCCCGAGATATGTTGTGTGAAAACTTCAATTTGTATGGGGGTGCCACGCCCCCTTGATATATCGAAATTATTTTTCTTCTTTTATCATCCTTTGAGGGTCCTAGGGTCAATGTCCAAAATTTCAATAATATCGGCACAGCTGCTCTCGAGTTTTTCGATTAGAAAAAAAAGCGAAAAAACGGCTTTCAAAATATATATTAGTATAAATATGGTTATGAATATTTTTTTAAAGAATTGCAGACATTTGAAATTAATTTCAAGTATTTTCCAAAAAAAGTGGAAGCATTCAAAGGTGGAATTTTTTTCTTTAATTTTTTAACATAAATAAAAAAAAAAAAACCAGAGCTTTTTTAAAAATTCGCCACGGATAGATCGACGCGAAATTTAATTATCTTTTATGAAAAAAAGAAACCTGATATCGGTTCATATTTGGGCTCTTAAATTTAATTTGTCCACAGCAACCTTTTTTGCCCCATAGGGCGTCGCAGAGTGCGCCGTAAATCCAAGAAAGCGGCCAAAATTCGAAGCTTTCAAGAAATGATTCGAAATTTCGTACTAGCGGGTTTTGGGGGTCGCTATTTACGAATCCGCTATCAGAGTTGCAAAATTCAAAATGGGGATCCAGTATATCGCCTGTAAAATTTCAAGCTATTTAATTAGATTTCTTAGAAAGATTTTGAGTATGCAGTTTAGTGCAAATTTGCAGTAGCTAGGACTTACCGTTGATTTTTGATATTTTTATTTTTGTTGACAGTGTCAGTAATTTTCTTCCATACGAAGTTCATACTTATGTACATATGTATGTTCGATGATATGAAGAAAATGAGCAACACCTTTAACAAAGAAATTTACAAAAATCAATCGCAAGCCTCAGCTACTTTGAACTTGCACTTTATTGTTTAAATTAAATCGGCTACAAAATTGCATACTCAAAATCTTTGTGTGAAAGCTTATTAAAAAGCTTGAAACTTTTACATACAAGTGAAGCTAATATGTATAAGCGTGTTAAAAAAAGTACATTAAAATTTTAGAGGCAGATTTGGGCAGCCGAATTTTACGTATTTTATTCAGTAGCTAATACTTTTCTAAGTTTACTTCTAAGTGTTTTTGTTTAATTTAACAACTCAAATGTCGTTAAAAAAAAATCAAAAAAAAATTATATTGCTATCTACTCCTAAAAAAAAATTTTGTTACAGTGTTGATATTCACAAAATGTTTACGTATTTTACTAGCCTTCAAACGTAGATCCCATTTGGTTTTGTTGGATTTCCTTTAATGAAAGTACTTTTATATATTTATAACTTTCCTCTTTGAATCTACGAAAATGTTGTGCTTGGGCGAAGACCACATTCCGACTGAAAATAAAGAGGGAACCTGGGGGTACATGCCGTTACAGTGAATAGATTTCGCTTCTTAGAGGATTCCTTTAGCCAACTGAGTTATGAAAAGTCCCTATTTTAAATTTTGGCCGCACTTTTGGATTTCGGCCCCACTGTGTGTCGTGCGATGTTATTCAAATCGGACTGAAAACAGTTTAACCTGCTACAACATTCAAATATGCGGTGTCGGTTTCCGACGATGGAATTCAACGGGTGAGAGTTGACAAAGACCATTGACTCAATCTCGATGAAAAGCCTGTCTATAATATATTATATTCGTAGAGTCGGTCTGGTTCAGCAGTCATATTGTAATTTAGGTTATGATTTCTAGCAGATAGTAAGTGTTACTGTAGTGAATAACTCGAAAACCGGTTTTCGAAACACTGCGAATAACCGTACACCATAGTTCATACGGTGCCTAGAATCTAATAAATTTTTTTTGCATTTTATTGAAATTGCAAGCGATTCTTTTCTAAAAATTGTACCTAGCAACTGGTCTATATATACATATGCATGTACATACGTATACACTTGCACACATATAAT